CCTCCTCCTCCTCCTCCTCCTCCTCCTCACCTCACCTCATCCTGCTCCTCTTCCTCCTCCTCCTCCTCCTCCTCCTCTTCTTCCTCCTTCTCCTCCTCCTCCTCTTCTTCCTCCTCCTCCTCCTCGTTCTCCTCATCATCATCCATTATGAGCATCATCATCAGCATCATCATAATCATCGTCATCACCATCATCATCATCATCATCAGCAGCATCATCATTAGCATCATCATCATCATCACCATCATCATCATCATCACCATCACCATCAGCATCATCATCATCATCATCATCATCAGCATCATCATCATCAGCAGCAGCATCAGCATCGGCATCATCATCAGCAGCATCAGCATCGTCATCATCTCCATCATCATCACCACCAACAACAACATCAACATCAGCAGCAGCAGCAGAAGCTGATGCGGCATGCCATCATCATCATCATCATCATCATCATCATCAGCAGCGTCATCCTCATCATCATCGTCATCATCATCATCATCATCAGCATCATCATCATCATCATACTCATCATGAGCATCATCAGCATCAGCATCAGCATGATCATCATCAGCATCATGATCACTCTGATCAGCAGCATCATCAGCATCATCAGCATCATCAGCATCAGCATCAGCATCCTCATCATCAATCTCATCATCAGCATCAGTATCATCAGCATCGTCAGCATCAGCATCACAACCATCATCAGCATGATCAGTATCAGCATCAGCACTGTTACCATCCTCATCCCCATCATCAGCAGCATCATCATCAGCCTCACCATCAGCATCACCATCATAAACAACAGCATCATCATCATCATCATCATCATCATCATCATCATCAGCAGCATCATCCTCATCATCATCATCATCCGCCTCCTCCTCATCATCTTCCTCCCTCCTCCCCCCTCCTCCTCCGCCTCCTCCTCATCCTCCTCCTCCTCACCTTCCTCCTCCTCATCCTCCTCATCCTCCCTCCTCCTCCTCCTCCTCCTCCGCCTCCTCCTCCTCATCATCATCATCATCATCATACTCCCCCTCCCCCTCCTCCTCCTCCTCCTCCTCCTCCTCCTCCTCCTCCTCCTCCCTCCTCCTCCTCCTCCTCCTCCTCCTCTCCTCCTCCTCCTCTTCCTCTTCCCCTTCCTCTTCCTCCTCCTCCTCCTCCTCCTCTTCCTCCTCCTCATCCTCCTCTTCCTCATCGTCTCGTCCTCCTCGTCCTCCTCCTCCTCCCTCCTCCTCCCCTCCTCCTCCCTCCTCCTCCCTCCTTCTCCCTCCTCTCCTCCTCCTCCTCCTCCTCCTCCTCCTCCTCCTCCTCCTCCCCCTCCTCCTCACCCTCCCCGTTCCCCCCCTCTCCCCATCCTCGTCCCCCTCCTCCTCCTCCTCCTCCTCCTCCTCCTCCTCCTCCTCCTCCTCCTCCTCCTCCTCCTCCTCCTCCTCATCATCATCATCATCATCATCATCATCATCATCCTCATCCTCATCCTCGTCCTCGTCCTCGTCCTCGTCCTCGTCCTCGTTCTCCTCCTCATCCTCATCCTCATCCTCCTCCTACCTACATGCATACACGGCCTACAAAGAAGGTCATCAAACTGAGTTCGAAGCCCCCTAGCGCCCACGATCAACTGGGATGATCGGGCGCAGAGGCACGGACACCGCGCCTCTATTGAAAAAAGGATAAAGATTAGGAAAACACAACTTCATGCTCAAGCACGCAAAAAGGAGTGGTCCCAAGCTCAATCCGCCGAGGCCGAGAAATGCGCACCCCCGTGGAGTAAGGGAGTTTGCAGTCTCTCAGCTGGCGGATCTGTTTGCGTTTACTGTTGGTGCAACCCTCCGCCAAGTGGACCGCTCCCCCCGTGGAGTAGGATCCGCACTTTAGGCGGAGGACGTCTAGGGCACCATGTAGTTCCAACTCTCGCAGCCCACAGGGCGTGAGCCTGGCCACGCCAGGGGGGCGTACACACCGCTCCTAGACCCAGGACGGGCCTGGCGAGTGGCGGTGGACATGTATAGATCTCGCCGCTCTACCCTGGGGAACACACATCGTATCGACGGTCTCTCCAGAGGGGTGCCGAAACCAGTGCGTCTCCCAGGGGGGCAAGTGGAGGAACATAGAACGGTGACCATGACCAAGACTGAGCACGGAAACGTTGGTGCCGATGTTGGTCATCGTCAGTTCGTGGATCGTCCCCGCGAAGCGGAGACGGCCGGCACGGACCATGACCAAGATCGGCGTCGACAAGATCCCGCGAAGTCTTGGTCGCGGACACCGTGCTTTCCTTGAGTCTGGACGCTGATCTGAAAGACCACCACGCACTCAAACCTGGACAGGGATGGGGAAGGGCAAGGCGATGAAGGCGCTGTAGGCATGGGCGCGAGTGATCGGACCCCGAGGGGGGGCTCCCGTTCGGGGATGGACAGACCCCCCTTTAGTAAAACATGGTTTAGTGAAAACGACCTGAGGCCCAAACCTGGCGGGCGCAGGCCTGGAAAATAACGGCCACGGCGCCCTCTCGAGAACCGAAGACGGACAATTCACTAATCGACGTGTCACTGTTGGGGGTTCTATCCACCTCCGACCCGCTCCAGCGAGGACCCCCATCCAGCAACACACTCCCGCAGACCACCCGCGGCGTTCCGACCCCAAGAGGTCTGGGTGTCGCATATAGGTCTGGGTGCCGGCTGCCAGCCCACGAGAAGGGCCACAGCTCCCCCAGGGTTGAGGGGCAACGACAGGGGGGGATAGGCCTAGGGAGGGATGCATCGACCTGAATCGGCCGATGCATCGCCGATGGATCGGCGATAAGGGCCCCCGATCGTGGATCCGACCCTTCCTGGGCAGGTTGGGGCTATCGGGCCCCATCGGCGATCCATGGGCGACTGGGGGTCGATGCAACCCCCCCTACAGTCGGGGCGTTGACCTAAGGAACCCTAAATAAGGAACGAGGCCCCTTTTTTCCATAAGTTAAGCTTCGATTTCCCGTCGAAAACCTAAGGAAAGCCTGAGGCAAGCTGTGAAACAATCAAGGAACGCGGAGCCCCTCCCCAACGAAAAGGGTTCCTTCTTCAGCGCCCCGACTGTATGCCTATCCCCCCCGATCGCTGCCTCCGAAGAAAGGGTATGCTTCGTCCGCCTCGGCCGCGGCGAGCGCTGCCGCCTCGGCGGCGGCCTTCGCGGCCTTCCGCTCGGCCCTGGCAGCCTGCCTCTCCTCCTCCGCGGCCGCGGCGTCCGCTGCCTCCTGGCACCCCGATCTCCGACGATCGGTTTTTGCCCATCCAGCACTCAGACTAACAAAAAGTAGCAATGAAGTACCCATATCGCTACCCTTGACTCGCTGGCGCCCTCTTCGGGCTCCTCGGAGACCCTCGTCGCCGCGGCTGGATCCGCCTCGAAACCCTGGTCACAACGCGCCCTGAGAGAGGTCCAGGGAAAAGCGGTTTCGGTGCCTTTCGTGTATCCCCAGGAGCGTTTTTTGGGCGCCCTGAGAACAGCACAGCCCACCCCTAACTCCCAGCCAGGACCCCCACTCCCGACCGGGTGATCCAGGGGGTCCTGGCTAGGGGTGAGGGGCGGCTTCTTGGCCCCCACACCACCCCCACCTCCGGCACACCTCCTCCCACCATTGCGGCTTTCGGGGAACGCACGGGACCCAGCAAGCGAGCACGCGAGCCAGATATACCAGGCCCCCGGACCACCAAACATGGCTCAAGGATGCAGATCATCCCCCCGGGAAGAGGGTCGGGAGCCCTGGGGCCGCGGATGGTAACACTCACTAGGGGAAGAAAAAACGGCATAAACATAAGTTTTCGACGGTCAGCGCGGATTTCTTGGATGCGCGCTCGACGACTCACGTCGGAAGACATCTGGGCAGGCTTCGGCCTCGGCGCCGCACGGAGGAAGCCAGGCCGGATCGGAGCCTGCACCGAACCGGGCCGCATCGGCGCGGGGTCGGGGCCGCATTCCGGGCGGCGCCACGACGGGTGCGCAGCAGGTGCAGTGCAGACATCGGTGCCGGATCGTCGGCATGGCGGAGCCGCATCGGAGCGAGCCTGCAAAAATACCGATGCCGGATCGGATATCGGTCGGACCCGCACACACGGCGTGCCGCCACGGACAGCGTCGACGTGTGAAAGGAGGAGGAGGAGGAGGAGGAGGAGGAGGAGGAGGAGGAGGAGGAGGAGGAGGAGGAGGAGGAGGGGGAGGAGGAGGAGGAGGAGGAGGAGGAGGAGGAGGAGGAGGAGGAGGAGCATCATGGGCAACGTCCCGCCTGCAGCTCCCGGGCGGCCCGCTGGACCTCGGGCGCCCTGCGCAGCAGCTCCTGGGGAGCGGCAGGCTGGCAGCGACACCGCTCTGCTCTCCGGACCTCCCCATGTCAGGGGGGCGTAAGACCCGAGTACAGGGGACTCGGAAATCCCCGACGAGGTCGTCAAAAAAATGACGAGGCCGAGCCTGATTTTTGACGAGGCCTCCCGCTGCAGACATCCCACGAAACTCCTACTCGTCAAAATCCGAGTCGCGGTCGTCAAAAAACGATGGCGAACCCGAGTCCTGGCAAACCCGGGTCTTACGCTCCCCCGACCATGGAGTGCGTGCGGGGGGGGTCCCGGGGCGAGCAGCGGCACCGGTAGCCGTTTCTCCCCTGAGCTCCACCATGCTGCCCATCTCGAAGGCCGTGGCGACCTCGAGGCTGCTCTGGCCGTCGGAGTCCTTGGCGTTCACGTCCGCCCGGGCCCTCAGCAGGCCCAACGCCACGGCCTCGTCGCCGCAGGACACCGCGGCCAGGAGGGCGGTGCAGCCATTCCTGTCGCGCTCCTCCAGCGAGGCTCTGCTCCTGAGCAGGAGCGCGAGGATGTCGGCCTGCACGGCGTCCAGGCACGGAGAGCGCATGTTTCTGGCCCGCTTGGACACGTAGTGCATGGCGGTCGCCTGAACGTTGTCTGCAGCATGGGGGTCTGCCCGCTTGGCCAGCAAGTACTCGACGATCTCCTGGGGGGCGGGCCCTGCACCCGCCCCGCAGGATTCCCCCTACAGGGCCAGACAGCTGACTGAGCTATGTGACTGGGCGGGTCGTCCCGACACAGATCGAAGCCGAGCCTGCGAGACCAAGATGACGGCCCCCGCCTCGGGTCCGCGTATTTTTGAACACATGCAGCATGCAGAATTACACTTGGCCATGTCTGGAACACTTCATGACGCATTACGAAACTTTCTCGGTAAGCAAATCGCAACATGGTGACAGTCGCTTGATCATAGAATCGTCACCTCCCTCTCAGAGCACGCACACACACATACACACATCCACACGTATACAGTTCCTTTCAAGAGAAGGATACTAAGATGGCAAAGCACAATCACGCGACAAACCTGCCACCCGTCAGCGTGACAGGCGAAATAATCGAATTTGGATTTGCACCATGCTCACTCCATGAGCGCGCGCCGTTACACGTGCATCGACATCGCCGAGCGAAGCCCCCGTGTCGGGCAAAATACTTTCCGTGGGGACGGGATACCACTCGAACAGTCAAAATACACAGACACAAAGGTTCGAAAATATGCACACGAATGCTTATATATACACACACACACACACCTAAACATATACACGTATATATGTATATATATATATGTATATTTACAAATTCATGCACATAGACATACACATACACATACACATATCTGGCAACGCACCCTGAGGCACGAGTTAGAGTGTCCTGAGGTCCTGTCCTCAGGTCCTTGGCCTAACCTCTCCAGCCTCAGTTCTCAATCCTGAGAAATTCTTTAAGAGGCCAGGACCCGTAGCTCTCACATCTCTTGGGGCTTGCCGCGTCCTGTCGCGTGTTTTGTTCTGGCCCAAGAGGGCCCCAAGACTGGCCAAGAAGGCCCCAAGAGGCCGCCCAGACGGTCCCAGAGGGCCCCGAATCGCCGCACGATCGGTACAAGACGCCCAAGATGGCCCCAAGACGGCCGAGAAGCTTTCGAGACACCTAAAGAGAGCCCCAAGAGCCTTCCCACAAGGGCCCCACGAGGCAAAATCATCGATCGTTCTTATGTATTGCAAGTTTGGGGGTGTCCTGGACGTTTCGAGCTTCCAACGCTCCAAGACGCCTCACGAGGCCCCCGAGACCGCCCCAAGACGGCCCTTGAGGCCCCCAAGACGGCCCCCAAGGGTGCCCCAAGACGGCCCAGAGAGGCACCCAAGACGACAGCACAAACCGAAAATCCATGCCTCGCCCCGACTCGCCCCGAGGAGCGCCCAGGAGGCCCCAAGAGGCCCCCACGAGGCCCCCGAGAGGCCCCCGAGAGGCCCCCAAGAGAACCCAAGAGAAGCCCCAAGAGGCAGCAAAGCAGCCCCCCAGAGGCCTCACAACTGCCTCCAGGAGGCCCCCGAGAGGCCTCGACGAGATCAAAAATGCCATCCAAGAGGCCCCAGACCCACAATCCAGGAACAGTGGCGGGATGAGCCGAAGGCCAATAGATCCGACGCCCCCTGTGGCCTCGCCACAAGGGTGCCTGGCGTGCTGGATGGATGCTTGGAGACTGCTGTTTTTTAGAACTCCCCCTGGTGCGTCGGCCGATGCAGTCGGCCACCCGGAAGGCTGCGTTCGTGGCTGCACAGGTGTTCCTGGTCTAGATGTCTAGGTAGCTCCAAGATGGCCCAAGTTGGCCTCTAAGACGGCCAAGATGGCTCTCAGGTTCGCTCAAGATGGCTCAGGAGGGCCTCCAAGACGGCCCAAGGAAGTCCAAGATGTTTCCAAGTTCGCCCAAGAAGCCTCCACAACGGCCTAAGACGGCGCAAGAGGCCTCCAAGACGGCTCCAGAGGCCTCCAAAAGGTGCCCCAGGAGGGCCCGAAGAGGTCAAAATCATTGATTGTCCTTGGATGTTTGATGGATTTTGGCATTTGCTTCAAAACTGCCTTCCGGCGGCCCAAGACATGTCAAGAGGCCCCCAAAACCGTCCACAGCGCACGAGAGACCTCCAAGATGGCTCCGTAACGGCCCAAGTGGTCCCCGAGACGGCCCCAAGAGGGCCCCAAGGCGGCCCAAGAGGCCTGCAACACGCCCAAGATGGTCTCCAAGACGGCTCTGTAGCACCCTGAGAATGCCCAAAGATGGTCCAGAGAGGCCCCCAAGACGGCTTCCGACTGCGTCAGACGTGCCAGGAACGCCCTACGACGGCCAAAGAGGCCCCCGAGAAGCTTTCAAATGCCCCGAAGAGGCCTGAGGAGACCTCCAAGAGGCCTCCAAAGAGGCCCCCAGGAAGCCCCCAGGAGACCTCGAGAGTACCCCAATCGGCTCCTGAGAACCTCCTCATCCTTGTTTCTCCCTCTCATAATCTCCGTCGTGCTGTCATTCTTCAAACATGGTTATAGAACTATTTATATGACGATCATCCGTAAGATTGGTAAGATTAGTCGCATCCGTAAAAATAGTAGGATAATGCTTAATAGTCTGACTCGTCGTATTAATGCGTGTATTCTTGTATGGATAGCATGAAAATATGTTTGCTGATATTCCAGATGAAAATATTAGTGCTACTCGTGCAAAGCTTGGACTAGAACGGCTATGTTTATCAAAACCAGTGTTCGTAGTATATCCGTCGTGTGATTACTGGTAGTAGTATTGCTCTTAGAGTTAGCGTTCGTCTTCGTGTTGTTCCTAGCGATATTAATATGAATAACATCATCGGTAGTACTCTTGGTATTCGTTTCAGTACCATTACACGTATTACCTTCTCACTCGTGATATTACGCATGTGCTGTTCACTAGCATTCTGCAAATGATTCATTATTACTGTTCCCCGAATGGTTTTCACAACGGTTGGGGGAACAGTCCGATAGTTTGACCGAGCCATGGTCACAACGTTCGGCCACGTAGGCGTTTCCAAAAAGACAGGTGGCGGCGGTGATTCGCCCTAGGCGTCTTCGATACATAGAAATGTACATATACCCGTACATATACATAGATACATGGGCGACGGAATACGCATATCTCTCGCCCATGCGGTGTGGGCAAATTTAGCACAGCCAATGAACACATGTTGCTTCTCAAGACTAGCGCGAAATGCACCACAAGGGCATCATGAAAGAAGTCCAGCAAAAAAATGAGGAAGTAGCACAGGCATAAACAAACAACAATAACAAAATGATAACAACAACAACAAAATGAGAAAACCAAACAAAACAAAACAAAAACGATCTGCGGTCGCTTGGGACGCGGGGGTCCAACCGCCCCCCCGCCAAACATCCCGGATTTCCGAAAATCTGGAGGACTCTCCCTTCCCTGGTGCTGGTCGTCGCCATCATCGTTGTCGTCGGCGTCATTTGCCAACGCCCCCAGCGCCCAGGGCGAAAACGTGTCGTCGTAGTCGTCGTGGTCATCGTCGTCGCCGTCGCCGTCGCCGTCGCCGTCGCCGTCGCCGTCTCCGTTTCCGTCGCCGTCGTCATCGGCGACGAAGAAGGCAACGGCGACGACGCAGGAGTGGAGGGCTCAGGAAAAACGGGGCCGAAGACGCTAAGGCAGGCAACCCAAAAGGCGAGGGAGGCGGAGGACGGAGAGAAGCTGGACAGCACGCCCACGGACCCGCCGCAGGAAGCGAAGGGCCCAGCAAGCGAGCGACGAAGAGGCAGGCGAGCAAGCCGAAGCCGACCGGGCGGAGAGGCGGCGAACGGAAAGAGGGCCCGCGAGAGCGTGGCCAGCACGAGAAGCATGCCGAGCAAAGATCGGGGGCGGACAGAAACCCCAACAGTGACACGTCGATTAGTGAATTGTCCGTTTTCGGTTCTCGAGAGGGCGCCGCGGCCGTTATTTTCCAGGCTTGCGCCCGCCAGGTTTGGGCCTCAGATCGTTTTCACTAAACCACGTTTTACTAAAGGGGGGTCTGTCCATCCCCGAAAAGAAGCGGGAAAGCGGGCGGAGGAGCAGAACAAGACAAGCGTCTGGCAAGCCGGTGGCACCTGGCCAATGCGAGAGCTTGCCCTTGCTGGACGAAAGCCGCGCGCGAATGGGAGCCGCCAACAGTGCGAGTCCGGGGACGGGCCGAATGGGCGTGGGAACTCAGGCGGCGCGAAAGCTCCGGCCTCCTTCTCCTCCTCCTCCTCCTCCTCCTCCTCCTCCTCCTCCTCCTTTTCCTCCTCCTCCTCCTCCTCCTCCTCCTCCTCCTTCTCCTCCTCCTGCTCTGGAGGCTCTGCAGCCTCTGAACGCACGTCCCGCAGCGCAAGACACACACACACACAACGAAATGAATCCAGTGGACGGGGAATGGCTCTCCGACCTCCTTCTTGCTGGTCGGGCCCACTCCACTGCAGAGCATTTTCATTCCCCGCACCGCTCAAGTGGACGGCCCTCGACTGCATCGCGCCGCCAAGTCTTTGGCCTGCCTGCGAGCGTGGCAATTGCAGGCCATGCAAAAGAACAGTCCGCCACTGATACTCCACATCCTGTGGGTCTCATGGACTTTGGCCAGGACCCGGGAATGCCTGGACAAGGATTTTGCACGACAGCGTTTCTCTTTTTGGTGGCCCTGCCGCAAATCTGCACCCCACACCCCTTCTTGAATGTGGAGGAGGTGATTATCATCAAACCTACCAATCTTAAGGGCGAGTACTGACTGAATCGCCCCCAAAACAACAAGCCTAGACTTGCTTTTCTTAGGGATCCCATATACATCCGGAAAACCAAACTCGCTCAGTTACTCACGGTGCATCCCAACATACGAACGAACTGCCGACCTACATGCTCAACTGCTGCTGGCCCGTGCTCTACCTGGGCCACAGTAGGGTGCCCCATAGCTCCTACCTGAGAATGTGTATCAGCCGCCGCATCCTCTGGAAGCCATTCATCAACATACCCGTGAATTCTATACCAAGTCTTGATAGGATGAAACGGCACCCAAACAAGGTCAACGTGTTCGTTTCCTACGTCCTCGCTCTTCCAAGAAATCTGCCTACAGACTTCCCGGTGCGGCTGGGTCGGGTTACACGTCGCGT